TCTCCTCCCTGGAGTCAATCCATCTCAACCAAGTATACACTGACATTCCTACCCTTGTATATAATCCTAAATATATTCCAAGCTGTTACACCATACGGAGTCGTTTGTGGATTACCCTTCATTGCGCTCCTTCTCCTGATCCATCACCACTTACGTCCACAATTTGATTTTATTTTGGGAATTCTGTGGCAAGAAGGAATGTTGTTTATGATTGGAATCGCTCTGTTTTTAATGTGTTAATATTGAATTTATTAGTGTTATTTTCTATATTTTTAAATTCTATTATCATTTTCTCACCGTTTGTGTTCAGAAGAGAGAAATTCCCACTAAGTTGTTATGAATTTTCAACTTCCTGTGAAATTGCCTTATATGATAAATTTATAAACCATTTCTCCCTGATTAATTTTAACGAGGATTCCAAAATAGCGTTGAAAAAAGTAGCCGATTCAATACAAATTTCAGTCAATTGTTCGTCCGACAAACATCCGTAAAACAATGTAATTTATTTGCATGGTACGGGATAGAAAAAAATTAAGATTTCTTTCTATATTAGGTGTTTGATAACATTCCATAACACTGAATCAGTTGTATTGGATCAAGTTAATATTTATTTTTAACTAACCTATGTTTAAGGATCATCCATTTTATTCTTTTGTCTATCTTACTTCGTTCTTGATAAAAAAGTAATGTAAGAGAGTCCTCTTGTTTATTAAAGAAATTATTATAAATGTAAAAAAGTAAATGTTTTTATATCTTACGAGACGGAATACTTCTAATTGTGATTTATGCAAAATCCTGTGTTGTACCTTTCGTTGCAATAAAGGAAAATTTCGGGATTCGTTTGACTAAAGAGTTGGAACCGACGAGGAGCGCAGGGTGTGAGTGGAGACACAGTCACTTGACACAGTTTTACAATCAACTTGCACTTTAATTTCTTTTTGATACAAATATATTCATTATAATTTTATCTTAATTCTACGTTCCCCAAGTACGTTTATTCGTGGCAAGTGTCACGTTCGCATTCGCGCGAATCTCGTGCCGGCGCTCGGTCGTGTAACTTGATGTCGGTCGTCGCGGGCGCGTACGTGCTGTCGCTATTACGGTTTTAATCGAACTCTGGGCCGCACGTTTAGGCGGCAGAATATAAAAGATTTTTGGAGTTCAATTTCATCGCGCGATGGCCCGCGATGCCCGGGATCGTATATGGTCATGGCAAAGTCAGGTGTTCGTTCGACATTTGTTCGCGCTTGTCTTGCAGTCTTGCATTTCTGCTAGCTCGTTGTCATGTATTGCTATGCCAAAATGCAAGACTTACACTTTGGACTATAACACCTATATGCATCATTTAATTCATCTTCAGAAGTTTCAACGCGCTTTTATGTCTGATGTGTTCATATTTGTACAATGATCGATGGTCGATTAAATTTAATTTTGTATGAACAACATTAATGTAATGTTGTTAATACAAAAAATTTACACATAAAAAAATTAACACATTTTGTATACAATACTGTAACTTTAGATCCTACAGATTACATCGACAAAATTACAATCACATTTCAAGACAATTGCACATGCCTAACAAAAACTCTTAAAAAAAAAAAATATTTACGTCAAATATATATGTATACGTATATAAAAGTACCGTACATTACATTTTTTAAAATCAAAAACATGTTTTTAACAAATAAAAGTTGTCCAAAAACAAATCATAGAGCCAAAACGTTCAATTATTATAACGAAAATTTTTACTAATTAAAAGGATGAGATTTCGCACGCATCAAGTACCGCGTTGATTTTAACTAGCCCTTATTTTCCTTATTTGCTTTTTATAAATTCTTATAAATCTTATTAGTATTATTAATTTTAAAAAATTTTTTAAAATTAATTTGCATTATTTGCTTATAGAGATTTACATTTATTTGTTTGAACAGGTTTATATCGAAAACGCAAGAAGCTATTCAACATGTGCTTTTTAAAACGACACTCACAATGGGATTTACTGTAATAAGCGGTTGTTTTCCTATGTTATATGTAAGTATTACATGTAAGTAAATCTAACTACATAAATTTTCAAAATTTCCATTTTAATTGAAAACATCTTAACAGATACAATCGCGTATCCTGATACCACAATTCTTATCTATGATAATGGCTGCTTTGCAACGTATGTATATTACAGCATGGGCAGCTAATGATTTGAAGGAAATCGTAAGTAGTGAGAAAAAATATAAAAAATAAAAGTTTCTGATAAAAAAGGTAAAAAAAAAATATATATATATATACAGGGTGTCCCCGTAAAAGTGGCCACCCCTTTTTATTTCGTAAACTAATAGAGATAAACCTAATAAATATAATATCAAATTAAACGGCTCTAACTAAACTTTATTCTGAGCACAGTGACACTTAGAAATATTATCTATGTTAAAGAGCGAAAAGACATGATTAATTTTTGCACGGTAAAGTAACAATTTTAATGTGATAAAAGTTGTAGCGTTCTTTTTAACGAATACAA